ATTGTTGGGTTTTTCTCTGTATCTATGAAGCGCCTTGAGGCGACTTTTGTTGTGATTTGGCGCTATATAAATAAAATTGAATTGAATTGAATTGAATTGAAAAATTGAAAAGATGTGGTAACAGTTACAGTCCAGTCATTGTGATCGAGCACACAGGGTAAAATATGTTATAACCTACCAACAGGATCCAGGGAGTGTGAACAAGCTTTGCAGTGGAGTCAGCTGGTGTAATGCTGGTGCATGTATCATATACAGAGATTCCTTATACACAGCTGCTCGACAAGTTTGGAGCTAATCTCATTTGTTGTTTGGTTCACAAAACACAGCTTCTTAACATATGCAATGGTATCTCCAAAAGGACGTAGCGTTTTGTGGGAGAAACATTTCGTCACTCATCCTTCTTCAGTCTCAGCTGACTGCAGGTTTCCCCAAATCTTATAGACAGTAAATTATGCAAATTCTGGTCATGAGAATTTGCAACAAACCATGGTTTCGTACGATGTTACATCTCTCTTCACTTGCGTTCCAGTCATGGAAGCATTAGAGGTGGCTTGGCACTTTCGTGGATAAAATCATATCCCTCAGGAACTTTTGTCTTACGTTGGGTTGGGCCTCATCCTCTCTGGTCCCTCTGCCATGGGGGGTACCGCAGGGATCAATTCTTGGGCCATTATTGTTATCATTGTATCTCCTGCACTGGGTGCGATCTTCAGAAACACAATTTAATTTCTTCTATATGCTGATGATTGCCAGCTTTTAGTCACTCTCATAGCTCCTCCATAGGACATGCTTGATCGTCTTAGTGATGATAAATCAGGGATCACTCAAAATCTTTTAAATTTTAATGAACATAAAACAGAAGCAATTTTATTTGGTCCCAGTCGTTCCTCTGGTACCCCAGATGTTGACTTTGCTGCTCTGACCCTCAACCTGAAGAGCTCAGTTACTAATCTTGGGATAAAAATCGACTCTGCACTTAGTTTTGATGGCCACGTAAACGGGGTGGTGAAATCTTCATCCTATCACCTCAGCCGTCTGTCGAAGATCAAGCCTTCTTTCTCAAATGCTCTCAGTCCTGAAAGCACAGCTGGAACTTAGAGTCAGAGTGTTCTCTATTGTGGCTCCGAAGCTTTGGATGATCTTCGTCTTCACATCAGGCAGTCTACATCAGTGCTGGTTTTTAAATCCACATTAAAAACTTATTTTCACTCGCTGGCCTTTGACTCGGTGGGTAACTGATAAAGTTATTTTATTGTTATCATTATTGTTATTTATTCATCATATTTATTATTCTTACTGTCCCTCTTATATTTCTGTTGTGCAGCACTTCAAAAACAGCACATGGCTGACCAAAGTGCTTTAGAAATAAACTATGGTATGGTAGTGGAAAAGAGGGCTTTGCTATCCTACCCTGGAACACCACCAAGCCATTGGTTGAGATATGTGGATGAGACCTGGGTGAAAATCAAATCTCAGGACTTACCACATTTCACAGATCACATTAACTTGTTGGACTGACACATCAAATTCACCAGGGAGGATATGAAAAGTGGCAGGTTAGTCTTTTAGACTGTGAGATTTCCATCAGTAATGGGGGACATCTAAAAGCTGATGTGTACCGGAAACCTACGCATACGGATCAGTATCTAAGGTTTGACTCTCATCATCCACTAGTGCCAAGTTTGGCCCTTCTGGTACAGAGCGCGAGTGTTGTGTGATCTGTTCAGTTTAGTGTTAAGGTGATGGATAAGATGTTGCACAAATTGATGAAAGCAGTCTTACATATTTGTTTATTATGTGCGTTGAAGGACATGTCCTGGTCAAAAATGACTCCAAGGTTCAGGGATTTTCAGGGCCGAGTACAATAACCTCAGTTTTATCTGAATTAAAAAGCAGAAAGTTAGCGGCCATTCAGGTCTTTATGTCTTTAAGACATTCCTGCAGTTTAACTCATTGGTGTGTGTTATCTGGCTTCATGGACAGCTAGAGCTGGGTGTCATCTGCATAGCAGTGTAAATGCATGCTATGTCTTCTAATGATGCTGCCTAAGGGAAGCATGTATAATGTAAACAGAATTGGTCCTAGCACTGAACCCTGTGGAACTCCATAATTAACCTCAGTGTGTGAAGAGGACTCTCCATTTACATGCACAAACTGGAGTCTGTTAGTTAAAACTGTCAAATTTCTGAGTGAGTTTTTACGAAAAATGATAAGACTGGGAAAACCTAAAAAAAAAAAAAAAAAAAAAAGAAACCCTAAAGATGCCCTGAGTGAGTCTGAGCGGACTTACTAGCGGCATTGGTCAGATTAGGCAAAGCTGAAGGAGCTTTTATGAGCCAACTTAAGAACAGATGTATCAATCACTGACAAGCAAAAAAAAAAAAAAAAATACAAACTTAATAAAATAGAATAAAATTAAAAATTGTTTCACCTCCAAGTACTGTCATCAACTTCTCAGGTTCCTGACAAATCGCTGACGATACCTAGCCGTCCACAAGAAAGCGACTCAACTGAGTCTGACTGAAGTTTCTGATACAGTAAATCACCTATAAATGAATACACCTCAATATGAGCAATACACACACATTCTTACCTTTTATAGGATTTCCACATTTTCATGTTTGTGCTGATGTTTATTTTGCTCGGTGCAATTAAAAGTTGTCAATATAAAAAAACAACAACCACCAATCTTTGCTTCACTTGAACAAGCTCCACCTCCAGCAGGTGTTTTCTCAGTTTATTGATTAGCTACTTGTTTAACTCCACAGTTTTGACCCACCTGGCAGGTGAGAGCAGGCTTACTGGAATGTCTATGTCCTCATAACAGGGTCTCTGCCCCTGAAGTAATGAACTGACAGGAAGTGATGTCACTTTAAAGTTTTTATTGTTTTTATCATACACGTCCTCGTTTATACAGGAATTCACATATTAACAGATCATGTGATCAATGAGGCGCTCAGCTGACAGCCATTAAAAAATACCCCCAAAAAACAAAAGACATCAAGCTGAAGACCTGACTGCGCCATGTTTTAAATAATTCTCAGCATTCAAAAGTAAAACACAGAAAGTGACATCACACAGCACGCCACCAATCAGTTCTAAGCAAAATGTTAAACTAAAGTAAAAAGCGATCGATCGCTGATATGTGCTCTGATATGTCTTCACTGATCAGTCTTCAGCTGAAGCTCAACCCCTACCAGACACTTTACTGACCATCCATCCATCAATCTGCTACCATGGAGACGGCTGCTTTATGCTCTTAGCCAATCAGAAATGAAGGTGGTGATGTGTTTGAAGTCAGGAGGCAGGGCGTCACTGGACCGAATTCGAGTTTCCTGTTCCTGTCCCACACTGATTGGTGGAGAGACATGTGGAGGGTCAAAGGTGAAAAATCCCTGAAAGCAACTTAGCATCAAGCAGGCAGCTTATTGGTTCAAGGATGTGGTTTTATATAGAAAGGGGCGGGACACAATTGAGAGCCAATCAGTGTCTCTCTAAGGGCAGGGGCGGCGCAGAGTCAAACATCACAGGTGCTGCCAGTCGATAGCAACCAGCGCCTGATTGGCCTCCTGGGCGTGACCTATGACCTCAGCGATGCCGTGCTGGCGCCACAGGCGCTCGATCTTCCTGTAACGCTCGGCACACAGGTGGAGAGGATTCCCACGCCTGTAACAAACAAATAAACAGATAGAGGGTGTGGTCAGGGGTGGGGCCAAACAAACTGGTAGAGGGGGTGGGGCTGAACAACCAGACGTACATACTTGAGGCCCTGGTCAGTTTCTCCATAGTCATCCAGGTATGGGGGCGGGTAGAAGCAGCCCTTTGTTTTACCTGCTACAAACAACACCTGACTCTCTCTGACCCTGCTCACACACAGACACACACAGGTTAGCGGGGCATGGCCGAGCGACATGCGTCAGTTCACTTGTGCAGGCGTTACCTGAGGAATAGGCCGAGGCCAGCTCCGCAGGTGAAGGTGTGTGCGGTGCAGGCGCCCACGTCCTCGCCGTCCACCTCCGTCTGACAGCAGTAACTCTGAGAGCACAGCATGCAACCGCACACCAGGCACAGCGTGGGAGCGCGAGACTTATCCCCGCCTGAGCGCGGACACCTGCACATGTAACACTCAGGTGAGTTCAGATGGGCCGGCAGAGTTTCAGGTCACCTCACAAAAGAACTTCACAGCATTGATCCTTTTTAAATCGATCACTCTGATCTCACTGTGTGTTCACTGACGTGAAGCTGGACGCCTGATTGATGAGCACGCTGTAATCTTCCGGCAACTCGATGAGTCGATTTGACTCTCTGGGGAACCTGATGATGGCTCCGCCCCCCTGCAGGGTCTGTCTCACACCTGGATGACAACACCAACTGAACACACACACAGGAGTGTCAGGTAATGCTTTTCCAGGTACTTTGGAGTATGAGATGCCTCATTCAAGTGTTACCTGTGTATGAGCGGCTTCAGCAGTGTTTGCTGGTTGTGGTGAAGCAGCAGCAGGTTGGAGGGCAGACTGAGGTAGCTGCACAGTGCCTCCCACTGACCAGGACCTGCAACTACAACAAACACACACACTTCTGTGAACACACAGTGTAACAGAATCGTTACAGGAACTTTGCTCGGTGTTCGTCTTACTCATCAGCTCAGCGGGAGGCGCTGTGGAGTTCAGGTAGTGGAAGAAGAGGGCGGCGGCTCGGAGGAACGGCAGGACACCAGCTTTAAGACAACGATACAGCTGCCACCCAGAGGACACCTCAGGTAACACACTGATGATGAAATGAAGTCCTCTTTACTGATTTTGAATGTACTAACAGGGTAAATATGTCTCACAATCCAAACTCACCTGCCCAGGTGTTTCCTCAGTGTGCTGTACAGCTGACAGGTGAGCTCCTCCTCCTCTGATCCACTGTTGTCCTGATCCATACATACCTCCTCTGCACACACAGGTAATACACACAGGTGAGACAGAAGCATCGGGTTCACAAAACTCAAGAGACTGTGTGTGAGTGAGAGAGAGCGACACCTGTGGTGGAGGTGAGCAGGATCTGAACCAGGTGAGCCACAGTGACCAAGTGAAGGAGGTGGAGGTGGCTCGAGTCCACCACACCGCATCCTGATTGGTCCAAACAGTGAACGGAGGAGTATGCCAGCACAGAGTAAACCTGCAGATGCCGAGAAATCAGAGTCATCTGCACCCACCCGACGAAAACGGAGCTTTAAGTGGTCCACGATGGACAGGTGTATAAACTCACCAGCAGGTGAAACATGTCGATCTCGAGGATACTCGGAGTATTTTCTACCTGAGTGTCTGGAACCAGAGCTAAACAAACAAACACACACAATTTTTTATTTATTTATATATATACACATATACATATATATACACATATACATATATATGTGTGTGTGTGTGTGTGTGTATATACACATATACATATACACATACACACACATATATATACACATACACACACATATATATACACATACACACACATATATATATACATACACACACATATATATATACATACACACACATATATATACATACACACACATATATATATACATACACATACATACATACACACATATATATATACATACATACATACATACACATACATACATACACATACATATATATACAT